CCCTCCAAAAGGGCCGGCGGAACAATCCGCAGGGGTAAATACAAGCAGATCTCAAGCAGCAGTCTACAAGTGCAGAGTCTGCTTCTCGCAGATCTCAAGGAGCAAATGTACTTTATAATGGCAACCCGGCAACCCTTTCTATTATTCTATGGAAGAACCACCCTTTCGCAAAGCTCCCGGCAAAAGGTTTAGGCAATCCCAAGCGTCACTGCTCTTGGCATCAGCCTTTGTGAACAAGGTGTCCAAATTCTCACACTCCTGGCAAAGCCAACCGCCAAATGAGTTGTATAGGTGCATTGCAAAGCTTGCCTGAAAAATACTGGTCAGCTGTGACGCTCGCGACTTTGTCTTTCCAAACGACTTCTTCATCGTGGCTCCTAGTTCAACACCGCAACAAAACTGGTTTGCGTCGGCCTATGGGTCTAGGTGTGCTACTGTACAATCTGTCCTGGTTGAGCTGGCTGAACCAGCTTGGGCTTGGGCTTTGGCCGCCTACCATTTGCCTAGAATCACAAAACAAATGACAAAATGCTTGAAACAAACGAACTGGGCTTGCACATCTGGCAGACTTTTTGCAAGCAATTTTCGTGGCCTGAGGCAGTGACCTTGCGAGGAGCTTTTGACAAAAGCAAGTCTCCAGCCAAGTGGACTTGCCGGAACACCTTCTCAAAGCAACACTAAATACATTTGAAGGAAACCGGATCACACTATGTAGATCTACTTGAAAACTAATTCCAAAAGTGCATTCCTCTGTTCGGCATGAATTGAAGAGACTGGCAGGAAGCCTCCGGGTCTCCACCTTTGTCTGGATGAGCCTTGCATGATACTGTGGCAGGGGAATGCATAAAACACTGAGGCAACATTGGAGATCACAGATTCCGATCCCCAACTCAAAGTGTTGCAGCATTCTACAAGAAGCAAGCAGGCCTTGCCTGCAACAGTTGGTGCCGGTAAGCGCTGCGAATCGTGGTTTGGTCCTTCTCGCCGCGCTGGAGGCCAAGAACAGCATATGCATCGTGGAGCTTCAGAGCCATCGGTCCATCAAGGCGACATGCAAACCCACAAAGGAAGGCAGACTGCGTTTGCCAAATTCCAACGAGTTTGAGTCTCTTGCTAGGAACGATTCGGCTATAATATATATATATACACAAAAATGTCATTGATGACAGTGCATCTCTTTGCATACGGCTGCTTGAGTGCAATTCTTCTCCACAGTCATTTAACGCCAGCAAACAAGCACAAGCAACAACTGGCTCAGTTCCAGGCATCTGCAGGGGTTACCGATCGTTCCCTGGTCTTTTGCCCACCACCACATGTTCGATCGCACTTGGACCAAAAAGCCCACTCCTGGCAAGTTGTGCAAAAGTCCAGCCCAAATTGCAGTTTCAGTACAGAGCTGTCTCTTCAATTCTTCAAAACTGGGCATCAGACACCCACCACACAAGGGGTGCTCGTCCTTGCGGTCAAAAAGGCCACTAGATTTTTGCTGAAACTTTACTTACAAAAGCAGCGCGCCAATCTCACTCTGGCTCGACCTGGCTTTGCCCCTCGTCTCAATCAACCCACCCGGACAAGGGCCTCAAACCAATTCGGGGCTGCAGCACTCAACAAAGGTCTTTAAGTAAAACAAAACTTCTGGGCCAAGCACTTCCCCCAATTCCAGGTGGAACCAAGACGGTGCGCTTGCGGAACCTCAACCGCCAAAGCACCGACTTGCACACTAAGTCGACAAGCAAATCGGGAACGTGAATTGGATAGAGAGGCTTTTACAAAAGCCCAATCAAGCCCACCCTGTTCATGTGCAGAACTCACCAGTGATCAAATAGTCTGGCACACTTGAAATTTACATCCTCCTCATCAAATTGCATCACTCTGATGCAAGAAAGTCATATTCACACATTGCGTCGCTGTTGCATGCAGTCTTAGACTCAGGGGGAGGCCACTGATCTGTATGGGCCGAATCGTCCTCGCAGAGGAGCTGTATCAGCAGAAAGCAGCACAGAAGAACAAAAGGGACGCAAACAAGTGCATCGCGGCAAAGTTGGGCACCGCTTTGCCAGCCAAGTTGAGGTTTTCCGTTCAGAAGTCCTCCATGGGATTCATCCACGACCACTCGGACCACTCGCTCATTTGGCAATCCATGCGATCACAAGGCCTGGAGAAGGTCAGTGAAGAAAGGCAAAGAGAATTGGAAATGGAAAGGAACTGGACTTTTGGAGGGGTCAACTCTTGTGCCGGGCCTCAATTCACAGGTGTCGGTCTCATGGATAACTCCCTTGGCCAGTGCGAATAAGGTGACCCAAAACTCGCTTTATCAATTAAAATGCAAACAGAAGAACCATCAAGCAAGTATCCTTTGCGGTGTGAACTAAAAACTGTACTATAATGACAAATTTAAACTATTATATATTATAAATTATAAGCGGTTGCTGGCAATGTATCATGCCAATTGATGCAGTCCAACAAAATATACGCCCCTTAGAACGTGTGGTTCAAATCCCACAAGTTTTCTTTCTTTCTCGTGCCAAAGGTGTGCTCACTAAACGGCACTTACTCAAAGCTTTAGACAAAAATTCTGTCACACCCGTAGGCACAAATTAAAACCACACAAAGCCATTACATATCTAGTTAGTAGCGAAGTCCAGGTCAAGCCTGGTGAAAACTTGTTGTTCAACACAAAATCATCAGAATTCAGAGTTTCTAGCCGCGTTTAGGATATAAGTCAGCTGTTCATTGGATTGGGAAAGTTCACTATCTGGGCGCAGAAAATCCCAAACAAAAGCCACTTTTTTTTCTGGACCTACCCACACGACGGAACATGACTTCAAAAGGAATGGCCGAATTTGGCCAAAACTTACATTCCTCAAGGGGAGGCTATGGTCTTGATGCAAAATATGCCGAGTATAAGGGTACCGCTTATTCTGCACACAGCACTATGATAACTATGCGGGTAATTTCGTGTTCTAATTGCCAAATTGGCTTTTGTGCGCACTTCATTATTGGTGTTCGCTCTGTTCACAAAGGTGGGCTCCATGCGAAGAATCTGATGTATATAAACATTTGAAATAGAATGACTCAAGACGCGACATTGCGCGTCAGGGATCTCTAGTGTTTGGAGTCCGTAGAGGAGCCTAGATTTCACGACGGCATCAAAAGGTCTGATTTTGTTCCCTGCTGTACAGTCAGCTCGTTTCCAATTCCACAGGCTATTCTTGGCAAACTCCGTTTTGAACCACCACTTCGGAATTGAGCCAAGAAGCTTGTGGGAGTAAACAAACCAATCGAGAATCTGAGTCTTGAGAGTCATTGCTTCTCTTGTCTTGTCGTCTCTTCGCTTTCTTTTTCTTTCCATCGTGCTCATCCTCCTTCTCTCTGCTCCTGCTGTTGTCTCGCCTCTTTCCTGTATGTTGGTCTCTTTCTGCGAGACATATCGTCTCACAAGAACCAACCAACACTCAGATTTTTCCCATTTCCGCTGTAGTGCTTCGACAGAAGCTGTGGCTATTCCCAGCATAAGCGTGAAAGAACCACTAAAGAAAGCGAGACTACGAAAAGGCACAGCACCGGGGGTCTTCCGAGCCCCAACAAGCAAGAGCCAAGAGGCCATCACGAAGTGCTGTTGCATCGGAAAGAACGTGGGTCTTTTCCATTTTCCAAGAAAATGCGAAGCATCACAGGTCACCAACCAACACTCACCAGTGCTCGCAGGGGGAACACCGCAACACTGGAATTACCTTTCACTGAAACAACAAGTAAAGTAAAGCTCTATGTTTCTGGCAGGAACTTGCTGTTGCGATAGCTGAAAGGAACAACCTTGTACATTGTTCGTCCTTGCTCTTTCTATCGCACGGTCAACGTCGAGAATGCTGCCACCAACAAAAAATGTTCCAAACTGAACTCTACATCCCACATTTGGATTGTCCATTTTGCTACGAGTACCTGCTGCTCGCAACATCACCCCCAAAAAATGAAAGTATCTGATCTAGTCTGGAGCTTCCCCCTAGGACTTCTTCAAAACAATAAAGAGTACAGTAAAAGCAATAAAGATTCTGCAGGCGAAAAAACATGCTGCACGGAGAAGCCCAGGCCGCACCCCAAGGTTGGACTTAACCGAGCAAATAATGCTCGAGCTTGCAGGCAAGCAAGAGAAAAGCAGAGCTGCAAGCGAGGGAAGTCAAAGGATAGAGGCCAATCCTTTTGTTCTTGCTCTTTTGGAGGATGTGAAGTCTGTCGAATGTACTCATCACATGTATTGCACACTTCGGTAATTGCACACAGTCGGACTGGTGGAAAAGGGTCGAAGTCAATCATGATCAAAGGATATGTGCTTCGTCAAATGTACAGGATCACGGAAGAAAGAACAAATCTCTTCCCAAACATGTTGCGTACATTTCCATATATGCCAGTAAAAGTGTGAACATGCATTAAATGCATCTGAGTTCATTGGTCCGTGGGATGCAATGTGCAAATTTTGCCAAGCCCACAATTGAATGTTGTATACTCTATACGTTGAAGTGCAATGAAACGACATGGCAAAGAGGTTAGCAAGTAGCAAAAAGCGAATGCTGCTTTTAGACTTGCGACGGTCGCGCAGGACACTTTGAACCGATCGCCGAGCAGGACATGGGCGATGGTATGCCACAAGGACGCCAGAAAAAGTGCGCACAACATCGAAAAAACCAGGGACACTGATGCTCGGCCCTCTGCTTGGCACGGACGGCCATCATGTTTGGCCTCTGCTTAGCTTGGACAATTGGACAATTCTGAAGCGACGTCGATGTACTTCGAACTGGAAGAAACAGAACCTTTTGGAGTCGGAGTCTCCGAGCCTCTGATATAACCTTGCGAAAGCGGGAGTGTTCTCCTGCACCTGGCAAGCAGTACGCTTCAACTTCAGAAAGCAAGAAAGTCATCACTCAGACTACTTCCCGATTCGCGGCTCGGAGTCGAAGCTAGCGGGTCTTGGAAAACTGCTTGGAAGGTCAGGGTATTTCTATGTACTGCCTGTACTGCTATGTTCTTTGAATTACACAAACCAAGGACCACGCCCCCATAGGTTGATGGGTGTGTGGTGCACAAAATGCCAAATCAGGATGCCGATCCATCCATCTTTACATTCGTTGACCTTTGAGGTCTCAATTATCTCCTTCTGCAAGGCGGCAGGGACCCACCAATTCACCATGTAGCCAGAATTCTTATTGTGGTTGGCTCCCATGACAAAGCATGCATCATGTGGTCCCAAGCTTGTAGAGAACATGCCTGCACCCCAAGGCCACCAGGTTGCGACGAGATTCTTCTGGTTTGCAGCGAGCTTCATGACATTCAAGCATGCATGGTAGGCTTGCTCTTCACCCGGATATGAGATCTTTGGCACAGGCGGCATCTCCCAGTTCGGAGGCTCCCCAATACATCCGTAGTTGCAGTCCCCCACGGCAAAAATAGTGCCGTCAGCCCAAACACCTCCGCCTTCGGATGGCTTCTTGGTGACTTGCAAGTGCTTGTTGAAGTGGATCCAACCACCGCCACCTGGGCCTTTGTCAGACAAAGTGCATTTTGGCATGAAATAGTTCGATGCCTTCACTCCAATGCAAACATAAGTCTCATCCGCACCGTTTGGCAGCTCTATGGTCTTCCAAAAGTCGGAGCTCTTCGGATCATATTTGCAATTGTAAAATTCTTTGATGCCACAGGCAGTCATATACTCGGAGCAGTATTGTGCTGCACTGTCAGGCAAGGGGCCTAAACATCGAGGGAGGAAGTCAATGATGGTCAATTTCAAATCCGGGAAATAATGCTCCAGCTCCGTGGCCCACTCCACCCCAATAAAGCCTGCACCGACCACCAAAACAGTGGACTTCTTGGTGTTAAGATCCGACAACTTGTGATACTCCTCCAGGACATGACGCCGACGGCCCTCAATGAACCGCTCGTCAATATGCTTCCAGTCGCTCACAGCACGACCATCTTCATGGACCGTGGGAAACCACAAAGATTCGCCCATGGGCTTAAACGGGCCAAAGTTGCATCCTGAGCAAATGATGCAGTAGTCAAAGCCAATCTCCTCAAGGTGGTTGATGAAAATCGGCTTGATAGTGGCAAACTTCTTTTCTCCGTTTAGCTCTTTGACTTCACCCCAAATGTACTTCACGCCCATCTTCCGCTCCAAGACTGGCTGCAACGTGAAAGTCAGGGAGTCAAGGTGAGCCGGCTTCACAAACGCTCTCAGAACACCAGGCGTGTACTCAAAGTACTCTTTGGCGTCAACCACTGTGACATAGAACTTCGTTTTCAGCTCACGAGCACAGAAAGTGCCACTAAATTGTGAGCCGATGACCAGGCAACGAGGCTTTCCCATCACTCAGAGTTGGACGCCCGGAGCAACAATGCTCCTACAAAATTTCTGAGCCGATCCGGCCACTCGAATATCACAAATGAAAAAAAAAAACATTAAATAACCTGCTGCTTCCGGACAAAAAAAGTAATGTGCAATAGTGATTCAATAGTGCCGTGGTCTCAAACACTCTCAAACATGCAGGCTGACCACACGGAGAGCTGCATTCACTCCAGGTGTGCCACTCACTAAGTTGACAATCTTCCGGGCTTGGACCAGGACCTGCGCCATTTCCAGGCATAAAGGTGAAGAGTGTCAACTGGAGTAAGTCTCAGCTGGATTTCCTTTTTAGCATGTTTGATACGTTCTGTTTTTGTTCCAAGGTTCAGCATCAGTTTGGTGAGCCAAGCTGCTGCAGGGTCGTGTCTCTTTCATCTCTCCAACGCATGGTGCACCTGAAGACCAAAAAAGCTCTTAGTAACTCAAAAAAATACCAAAAGCATGCGAAGCAAAAAAACAAAGCACAAAAGAAGAAACACAGCCACCGCAGCCACTGCCCGGCAGCCATCGCCTTCTGCCTTTTGCCCTGCCTTGTCCGGTGTTCTTTTGCCCAATGGAGCGTGAACCTCATTAATTCGAGACGTGTCAAAGTCCTTCACAAGATCCAAAACTGAGACGTCTACGGGTGGACTGGTCATTTGGAGTGCCACATTCTGACCAGGCGGACCATTCCTTGAAATCAAGTTTGCCAAGAACCCAAGTCGTTTGCCAAAACTGGGTATATACAGTATATGACTGCTCTTTGTACTGAGGCTGCAGCAACCCACTGGCAATCAACTTCATTCAACTCGCACCTCCGACCAGCAATATGGTCCAACCAATTGCAAGCAGAAAGGAGACTACAAGGAGCTGTAAGGGCTCTGTGGGTGCCATGGCCCGTGCAAGGGCATGCGGCACATGCGGCACCGGCACCCGCCGGCACCTTGCTTTTGGGAAGGCTCGAGACTCCATCTTTCGTCCTTCACAAGGCTTGCCACATTCATTGTTGGAATCCTCAGAATTTTCAGCAAAACATCGGCAAACCGCTACGTATGCTGCGTATGTCGTACCACTAAGAAAAGCCGGCGCGAGGAAAATCTGGGTCCAATGCTGCGATGCCACGCTGGCGAAACTCAATCTGGGCGCATCCTGTGCGAAGGAAGGCGAATGAAATCAGCTTGGCAGGAAGTCTTCCACTCGTGCCTCCGGCATCAAACCACTGGCCCCATGAGTCAAATAGGCAATCCCTCGGCCTTGGGCTGTGTTTTCTCTCTCACTCTCTATCAAAGGAGGAATCGTTGGATTCTTGTCAACTCTGCATGATGCTTTTCACATAATTGGAGATCATGTTCATGTTTCCTTTGCGCGGCGTTGGTTGGTGGTGTCTGCTTGCCTTTCTGATCTTTTTGGGTACTTCATTCTTCCCTCTTCTTCCTCTCTCTCTCTCTCTCTCTCTTTGGCAAAGAAACTTGTGTTGGCTATTCCCGCATGTTCTTAACATCAGTATGAGATTTGCTTGACTGTTTCATCAGCGGTTGGTAGGTGGTTCATGTTTTAAGCCCAATGTCAGCGGCGCTTCAAGCTGTTTCTCACCTTGAGACTCCCTGGTTACATCTAGCGGGAGACTTGAGGCTGAAGCTTCTGAAGGACCTTCCGAAGGACTGGGCCACAGGCTCGCAGGTATGGCAAGACTCTAATTCAGGGCAGAGGCCCTCAGTACAGGGCCCCTTCAACACAGGATAACACGTTCAAGCATGATCAAGACAAACGATCAAAAGCAACAAAGTCAGCAGAACGTGACTTTCATTCTGAATATTATATATATAATATATGATGTTGCACATAACTTATATGTATGTGTAATAAATACATTTTGCTACACAAACTTTGTGGAATCTAGATCTCAACTTCTAGTACGTGAGTACTGAGTGCCGAGCCCACTGTTCATCAAAGCCGGAACAAACGTGAGTGCCATGATATTCAGCAAGTTCGCGTTCCTGCGATATCAAAAGCAAGTTGCCAAATGTGATTGTTTCAGAAAGGAGTTGCACCTGGCCCCAACCCTTGATGTCATCAAAGAAGGGCCTCACACTGTCACTCGCGTAAACTCTACGTTTGGCGAAGCAGGTGCTCGAGGTCACCGCTGTGCCAAGGCTGAGCCTAAAAAGACAAACCTTGGAGTTCAAAATGAAGCTGTGGAATTTGGTGTCAAGAAAATGCTGCAAAACAGTAAAGCGTATTGTCGTGTCTTCCCACTATTTAATCGTTTAACCTCTTTAGAGCCTCTACTGTCTCTCCGTCACAAGACGTGTAGGCACCATGCCAATGGCCCGCCGGCATAACTTCCAAGTCTTTAAGGATCTCTAAGCAACTTTGGCCTTGAGCCAGAAGCAACATACACCGTTGGCAGCAACTGGTGAACTGCAGCTTACTTCTTCATGTCTTTCTGCCAAGATATCAACGATCCTCCAACAATGGCTCCAAAGAGGCACTTCCAGGAAGAGCTATTGAGAAGGCAGAGTCGAGCAAAACAAAAGTCAGCGATTCCAAGCCGAGGAGACATGAACACAAATCTAGAGACGTTCTGGGCTTGGGAGAATTCATGATTGCAGGGGATTGAGATTGGGACCTCCAATGTCTGGACAGTGGAAAAGACAAGAAGAGTGGGGTGAAGCACAGAGGCAAAGACGTGCTTTTGGTTGTTCTCAGAAGAAACCGAATGCAAACCGGTGGGGCTAATCAAAATCCAAAGTACAAAAGGCGAAAGAACAATGTTATGTAAGTATGTAGATTAATTCCCAGAGTTTTTGCACTTCAAAAGAAGATTGATGAAAGCTAGCGAAGCAGGCAGAGCATTACTGAAAGTAGGGTTTTGCAAAAGGTGACTGTACATTCCCCGAATTGTTTTCTTTGCGACCACTGAAGGAAGAGAAAAGGATCAAACTCTTGCAGAAGTAAAAAGTGAATCAGCAGCTGTCACCGCGAAGCAAGAACGTCCAACGAACATAGGAGCAGACTCAGTCAGAGAAGCCTTCAGTTCTCTCCTCCAAGGCAGAATCAGCTTTGTCATGCCAATACGCTTAGAATTTGAGTATCTTGTTGATACGGTTCCGAATCAATACTGTGAAGGTTTTAGAAAATGAAAAAACAAATTTGTTGGGAAGTCCACTTCCGAATGCACATAGTTCGTGCGTAAAAAAAAAACCATTTGCACAAATTGCATTCAAAAGAGATCATTGGAGCACGATCAACGTAGATTGTGGGGTGGAAATATTTGGTATCTTGATGCATTTGCTGTTCTCTTCTGGTCTCCATAGACAAGCTTGGACCACACGCTGGAAAAAAGTGGAGTACGTCTGAAAAAAATTGCATTCTATTTTGCTTAGCAAGCTTAGGAGGTTGTTTCAGGCCAGGATCCTACAACAGGTCACAGGTTCAATTTGGCGAACGCATATGTATGTTTTTCTCCTGACTCAGCTCAGAGTTGCCCAAGTTTCCTCGAACGTGTCCATAACTGCCAAGACTTGCAATGCATCTCACATTTCAACATTTTCTTGAAGCCATGACACATGCAGTCACATACACATTCAGCCTGGATGCTCAAGCCGCTTTTTCAATAGTTGATCTTCCGTTTCCACCCCAGCCATCTTCCGCTAGCAAACACGCATTGACTTTGTGCGCATGCGCGAGGGTGTGTGTGTGTGCTGTGTGTCAGTGTGATTTCCATAATTAAATCATAAGCGTCATGTTAATAGTCACGTGAAATGATTACTCGGAATAGATTAAGTGACGTCGTGAGTTGCGTGCCACACAACATGTTTCATGGAGGTTTGACTTGTGTGTACCCGCGCCGCCTCGAATCAGGGAGGGCCGCGCGCGTCACCGACGCCATGTCTACGCAAAACGCCGTGTGAGCGGCCGCACTTTGACTTTGACTTGTTCTGGGACTTCGTGAACCTAGACTTGGGTAGCCACCTCCGTCTACCAACATTGGCAGCGGAGTTCCACGCCCAACACGGATGGACCTACAGCCTCGGGACCATCGACAACCTCTTCAATGGCTGGGGGCACCATTGAGACCATGAAGGACACCTACATCCCTGTGTTCAACAACCGCGTGAATGACTACAGGGAGTGGAGGCAGCGCATCATGCTGTACAAGCGGAAATTGGCGCTGCATGAATCTCCTGACAAGTAGGTGGAACACATGGTGGACAGGGCGTTCTCATGCATCCCTCAAACTACCAGGAATGGACCTACATCCCGGACACCGAACTACAATGGATAGCAGCATCCAGACAACAAGGACAGGACTTGAAGAAGAGCGCCTGATGCAGCTGAGAAAGGACAAGATGGCTTTGACCGAGGAAGTGGCACATCTTCGAAATGAATGGGCCCTTGCTCAGCGCCAAGCTCAAAATGCTCGGAGACAGGTACAGATCCTGCACCAAGATTTGAAGAAGCTGAAGGACGACCACACCGAGACGCTCGCCCAGAAGCTGAAGTGGCGAAACTCTTTAAAACAGTCTTTCTGGCAAGCTTGGGAGGCTGTTGGCATGCAAGTCGAGCCTGCGTTGCACAACGCACTGCCATTTTGGTCTATGTGAGACAGCCCTGCAAGGCATGTGCCCAGCAGTTCCTTGGAATGCACTCCCCCGGCCCCTATGGATGGTGTGCATTGGGCACAAGGCACACATGGTGACCTCACTGACACGGCAGCGAGCTCGACTACATAATGGTGAGACAAGATGTCCTAGCGCCACCTGCACGCTTTTCTTTTGAACTGTAAGCCTCTCTTTTCACCGATGTGAGTTGCGTGCCACGCAACGTGTTTCATGGAGGTTTGACTTGTGTGTACCCACGCCGCCTCGAATCAGGGAGGGCCGCGCGCGTCACCGACGCCATGTCTACGCAAAAGGCTGTGTGAGCGGCCGCGCTTTGACTTTGACTTGTTCTAGGACTTCGTGAACCCAGACTTGGGTAGCCACCTCCGTCTACCAACAGACATATCTTAAATGACCCCTTGCAGCTAATAACCTTGTGCTTTGCTTGGGAAGTAGAAGGCAAAACAAAACGTATCGTTTCGCCGGTCTGTTTTTAGGCAACAAGTTGGCACCAAGCACAACAGTTCCCTTTCCAGCAAATGCTT